CTCGCGGCCCCACTGCGACGCCGCCTTGGACTCGTCCCCCGACGTCCACCCCGACCCCGCTCGGCTCCACGACTCACCTCCCCGGCGCCCGCGACGACTCCTCTCCGCAGGCCCGCGAGACGCCTGAGCCTGAGCGTGCCCTCTCGGCCACAGTTCGGGAGGGGCCGCGCGGTCCGCGGGCGCCTCGGAGTCCCCCGACTCCAGCCCATCGGGACCTCCACCCCTGAGCCTGTGGGTGCTGCTGCGGGCACTGCTGGCGGCGCCGCGGGTCTCAGCGGCAACCCGATGTCTTCAGCTACATCAAGCGAGCAGCCTCTCGGGCGCCAAGAGCAGATGGCACAGCGTGAAGAACTCGTGGGCGGGGCCCGCGTGGGGAAACCCGCTCTTGATCCCCTGCGGCGCCCTCTCAGCCCCTCTGCCCTGTCTTCTGGTGGAGGAGGTGGAGGAGGAGGAGGAGGAGGAGGAGGAGGAGGAGGAGGAGGCGTTCGGAGAACTCCATTGCCGTCATTGCCGTCATTGCCTCAGGAGGAGGAGGAGGAGGAGGAGGAGAAGGAGGAGGAGCAGGACGAGGAGGAGGCCCCCACCCCCGCCTCATTCTGGTGGGCTCCTTGCCACCGCCCGCCCAACTTTGACGTGTTCCTTGCCCGCTGCCAGCTCCCCTCCCAGCCTCCTCGCTGCCCCGCCTGCCCCGCCCGCCCCAGCCGCCCTGGCCCCCGCCGCCCCGGGTGCGCTGCCTCGCCCGCCGCATCGGCTTCCGCCGACACGGCCTCTGCTCGACCGCCCCGTGAGGGGCCAGCTGCTCGCCCGCGCTCGCCTGCGCGCCGCCCCGGCTCCGCTGGCCCGGCCTGCTCGCGCAGTGTTTGCCGGTGTGGAGAGTTATCCTGCCCGCCGAAGACCGAACAGTGTGTGTGTGTGTGTCGTGTGTTGTGTGCTGTGTGCTGTGTGCTGTGTGTTGTGTGTTGTGCGTGTTGTGTGTTGTGTGTAGTGTGTGTGTGTGTGTGTTGTGTGTGTGCGTGTGTAGGTGTGTGTGTGTGTGTGCGTGCGTGCGTGCGTGCGTGCGTGCGTGCGTGCGTGCGTGCGTGCGTGCGTGCGTGCGTGTACGTATGTGTGCGTGTGTGTGTGTGTGTGTGTTGAGGGGGTGGGGGGTGCGGGGGGCAGCTCATTGCCAGCGCGAAGCCTTGACAATGCTGCCGTGTGCGCGATGGCCGTGAAGGGCACTCCCTGGATGGCTAAGCCTGCACGGGGAGACAGAGTTCCGCACGCGCAATCGAGCCAGCGCCAGAGGGAGGAGAGAGGAGGATGGAGGGAGGAGGGACGATGAGGAGGAAGATGAGGAAGAGAAGGAGGGTAAGGTAGAGGGAGAAGGATGCGGAGGGATGAGGAGGGAGGAGACGGGAGGTAGAAGGAGGAGGGAGCCACGGGGAAGGATGACAAGGGGGCGATCAGCGCCCAGTCTGCTCTGCTCTGAACTGGGGCATCGGCGTGCGGAGCGCGAACATGAAGTCGACAACCTCCCAGGGAGGGGAGAGGAAGACGCGGAGGAGAGCAGAGATCAGCATATAAGAGGATAAGAAAAGGAGAGGTATCCTCCTCCCTCCTCCACCTCCTTCTCATCAACATCATTAGCATCACCACCATCATCATGGTCATTAGCAGCAGCAGCATCACCAACAACACCAACAACATCGTCATCGTCTTCATCGTCGTCATCATCATCACCGCCATCGTCATCATCATCACCATCATCACCATCATCATCATCGTCATCATCAGCATCTCCATCATCATCATCATCATCATCATCATCATCATCATCATCATCATCATCATCATCATCATCATCATCGTCATCAGCATCATGATCACAAACATCGTCATCACCACCATCGTACACATCATCACCATCGTCATCGTCGCCACCATCAGCATCAACACCATAATCGTCATCATCAACATTCGAATCAGAATCGGCATCGGCATCATCATTACCGTCATCATCATCATCATCATCATCATCATCATCATCATCATCATCATCATCGCCAGCATCATCATCACATCAGCATCAGCTCCATCATCATCATCCTCATCAACAACACCATCATCATCGTCATAACCATCATCATCACCATCATCATCACTATCATCATCCGCATCATCATTGCCGCCATGATCATCATCACAATCACCACCACCTTCACCACAATCATCAGCATTACCATCACCATCACCGTCATCAGCATCTGCACCAGCATCAACATCATCACCATTACCATTCTCACCAGCATCATCCTCAGCACCATGGGCATCATCGTCGGCACCAGCATCATCGTCCTCACCACCACCACCACCACCACCGTCAGCATCATCACCATCACTATCACCATCACCCTCATTATCACCATCATCATCCACTTACCCTCGCACCCCCCCCACTCCCATTCTTCCTTCCCCTCCCTCCTTCGCGCCTCCCTTCTGGCCCTCCTACCCTTCCCTTCCATCCCCTACCATCCCTGCTCTGAGCCCATGCCCGCGCCCTCGTCAACCCTTGCTCAACGGTTACACGATAGGAATACTACTCTCCTCTCTCCCGTGATGACGTCCGGAAGATGTTCGCCCTCCCTCCGCGTACTGTTTCTTACACACAAGATTCCCGGGAGTTGGGTTCGTGCTTGCGTTTTTTATGTTGCTCCCGCTGAAGCGCTGGCCTCATTTCCGCGCTGGCCTCATTTCCGCGCTCCCGCTCGTTCCGAATCGTGCCCCCGCTGCAACGCTGTCCTCATTTCAGCGCTTCCGCTAGTTGCGACGTGCTCCCGCTGCAGCGCTGGCGTCATAAGTTCCAGCGCCATGCCACGACATGCAATACAATGCTATGTGGTATTCCGCTGTGCGATGCCATGCCTTCAGCTGAAATGCTAGGATCTGCAATGCTTGACTACTCAGCGCTACGCTATACTACGCCATGCTACGCTCTGATCTTCAACGCCATGCTATGGCATGTTCTGTTCTGTGCCGCTGTGCGATGCCATTATTTGCGTTGCAACGCTTTGTGATGCAACTCTTCACTACGCAACGCCACGCCATGCTATGACATACTACGCTCTGCCGTGCTCTTCTACGCCCTGCTATGCCGTGCTCGAGATCCGACTGTGAGAACAGAGGGAAGATCTACGCCATGGTAAGGAATGGGAGAGGGGTAGGACGTCAGATATGACGCGAGCGCACCTAGCTTGATCCGCCCCCCTTCCCCTTGCCCACTGTCTCACCCCGACCCCATCCACCAACCCCTACCCCTCCGCACCGCCCTTCCTCCCTCACCCGTAACCTCTCATCTCACATGCCCTTCCCGCCCTCCCTCCACCCTCTGTTTCCGCCCCTTCCAGCCTTTCCGCCCCCCCCCCCAAGTGGGGCACAGACATCGGGCCTAGCGAGAGCACCCCCCCCTACACCTGTCGCAAAACCTGTCGGCGACTCAAATTTGAAGAGCGTTGCGGCCTGAACGTCGCAACCACCCGCCAGAGGTTGCCGTGAGCGTCAGCGTCTCGACATCGCCTCGCACTGCGGTATGAAACTACATTGGCTCGGTTTTCGCTCGCGAGCCCCCTCATCCAACCGCTCGGCGACCCGCCGCCTATGTTTTTTTTATTATGTTTTGGGGGGCGAAGTAGACGTCTGACGTGACTATCAACAAACTCTGCCTGCTCCGCCACATCCCCCTCCTCTTCTTCCCTCCTTCCTCCTCCTTCCCAGGCTTCCCCAGCTCAACACTCCGCTTCTCCTCGGTTTCCTCGGCCTTCTCGGCATCCTCCTCTCCTCTTCCTCCTCCTCCTCCTCTTCAGTCGAAGCTTGGCGATGGTATGGTATCCTCTTTCTTCTGACTCTTGGCCTCGCCGATCGCGTCGTAATGTTCTGCGATGTGGTGCCTCTGTCTCAATGCATCCTGGAGTTCGTCGGTCACGTTCTTGCCTGTCTGTCATGCGTTGGGCTTGTGCTTGTTTACTGCCGCGGGCTCAGCGCGGAGCGCCTCCTCCCTCCTGCCCGCCTCAGCGTAGATATCGGCGCTGCTCCACTCGCGCTCCTCGATGCAGGTCTCGGTATGTTGCTTGACGTGTCGTGTTGTCTTCTCGTGGTTCTCCTTTACCGTGCGGGCGTTGTTATAGCTGTTGGCCTTCAAGTCCTTGACGGCACGTAGTAGCGATTGCCGTTGGTCAATAAGGGCGTCTATCAAATCGAGGTGTTGTCGTCCTTGTTGCCTGCGTCGCTCTCGTACTTGCCGTGCGTATTGTGCCTGCAAGCGTGTGCCTCGTCCTTATCGTGTGCCGTTGTTTGTCCTTCCCTGTGATTCTTTTAATAGAGGATGTTATAGCGGTCGGTGGTGGTCCCGCCTGCAGAACCTGGTAGTGATGCTCCAGCGTGCCTAATATGCCGTCGGCCCGGGTGCGGGGTGGCGCTCATATGCCTCGTTCTGCTTGGCGGTTTGTGGCCATCGTGCTCGTCGTCCGCGTCCGATTCCTCGTCCTCCTCGTCCTTTACCTGGGTGCACCCGTCGAGCTTGTGGTTGATAACGGCGTTGTGTTCGTTCAGCTGGGTGAGATGCTCCTACGCGTGATGTCTCGCCTCCTTGAACGTATCCCCATGCTCATCGAGGTCATTGGGCTGGTCTCTGATGGGGAACCCGGTCTGGATCATGGCCGTGGTCAACGCGATCATGTTGAGCGAACCTTCTGTGGGTAGTTCGGCGTGGTTGTTCCTGAGCAAACGAGCGCTTAGGATTTGAGCTCGTGTAGGTTGTAGTTCCTCCTCGTGGTGCAAGCCAGTGTATATCTGGGCGGGTCATCCTGCTGGGGGTGGTTGATTGCGTCCCTCTTCCCCATGGGAACGACATCCGAGATGGTGGTGCCGATGATGGCGTTCTGCTGGGTGGTCGTCTTCTCGCTGTCGTCCCTGCGGGCCTCCTCCTTCTTATGTTTGGCGATCTGGCTCTTCTGGGTGCTGTTCCTTCCGTTCTCCCAGTTCCGGTCGGGGCGGCCCTGCCTCCACTTTGCCACTCGTGCGCCGATGGCTGACTTGGGTCGCGCTGCTGGCTGCGGCGATGGCTGTGGTCGCGGGTGCCGTTTGGGTTGGCGCGTCTGCCCGCAGGCGGGGCAGCTCTCGGGCTCCGGTGGCTGGAGCTCTGCGGCCCTGCCGTCGGAAGCGCCCCGGCCGCCTCGAGGCGCGCCTGGCGCACGCACGGGCAGCGCTTCCGCGGGAGGGGCACGAGCACGAGCCAGCCGTCGAGCCACAGAAGGACCTTGGGCTCCCCACTTCGCGCTCTCGCGCTCCGCGAAGCGCGAACCACTTCGCGCTCTCGCGCCGCCCCCCCCAGAGGGAGAAACGGAGGACGAGGAGGAGGGGGAGAAGGAACGAGGACCGCGAAGCGCGAAGCGCGAATAACTTCGCGCCCTCGAGGGCGCCCTTGAGGACCGGTCTCGCGCCACGCTTCCAACATCTGTTTCACGACGGCGAGCAGTTGCACGGAGACGAGCTTCGGACACCGGATCGGGCCCTGCACGTCGGGGGGTACGAGGGGCGTTGCGGGCAGCAAGAAATGCGTCCAAGCAAGCACCGCGTTTTTTGCAAAGGGTAAACAAATTACCAACAGAATAAAGGAGGCACGAGGGGAACCGTCGGGGGCCCACGTCACCTTGAACATCACCAAGAGAGGGGCCCAACCATTCCTCCAGACGGGCATTCAGTCGATCACAATTGAAATAGTGTAGGAGGGAGTCGGGATCAGATCCGTCAGCAGAAGGGCGTCCAAACAGGCACCCCGCAGCACGAGAGTGAAAACGAGCCGAAGTGCAGATAGATCCAGTCAACATACGAAGTGGAGCAATACCACTGCACATGGAGGTATCATTGCATATTCGCTTCCAAGTCTCACACACCTGGTCATTGTGCGACGCCTGAACTTCAGGACAAAGATAGCGCGCGCGGCGAAGGAGGGTACCACGAGCGGGTTGGGAATGCTGAGGATCCCGATCGTACGTGTACAGCTTGGCCTGGAGCTCAGAGGAGCCCTCAGAGATGTTAGAAATGAGCCCAGGGCACCAGTCCCTCACACGGTGCCAGCCCACCTGCCACCTATGGGGGATGTGCTCCAGGTCCTCACAAGCCCTACCGAGGTCATCCAAGACATCATGCCGAGCCCCAGAGCGAATATAATACCGAACGGCGTTAGCACGCGCGACAGCGCTGATATCGGCAAACGCGGTGCCAAATCCAAGGGACTTCAGCTTCGTGGCCATACGGCATGAGATCGCGCATTGCGAGGCCCAGAGGTAAGCAGCATACCACATTCACACGAAACTGGTGAGTGAGACTCGCATCGGGAGGGTAGCTGAAGACGAAACGGTAGCTTCGAGGCGCACATGACACGGAAGGCGGCGGCAGACTGGGCGATACCTAAACCAACCTGACGTGTCTGGTGCACCCGAGCAAGGAATTCAGGGAGGACCGGATGCCAGACACC